TGATATTACTGCTTGATTTTAATCGAATGACGCATGTTTAATGAATTGATTTGAGTCTGATCAGCTTTTCTCAATTTCTGCTGCAACCTGAGATAGATAGAATCTGATTAGGTTGTTAGAGCCTCTTCATTCGATAGTAGGAGGTTGGCTATACGAGAGTTAGCCAGTTTACTGCTTTGTACTGGTGTTCTTGACGCTAGTAGTGGAGTTCTGTGTTCATAGCCTCAGCTTTCTATCCCGGTGAAGACTAGTCGTCTGCCGGGTAGTTGGACTGAGAGGGCTTGGTCAGCTTAAGAGATTCCAAGCTACTGTCGGATCTTCCGCAGTCTAATCAACAGTAAATCAACCCAGGGAATTGCAATTGAACCTAACTAAGGGGCTAGGGGGACTCAATCCCGAGTGACTCTTACCTGCTTTAGAAACCCGAACAATTTACTGCTTTCTTGTTGCTTTTACTTTTCACAACAATCACTCGACTTAGTTTGCTAGATAATAGAGAATCACGGAGTAAGCAGTAGATCTAGACCCCGGGTTGATAATTAAACTTGCCTGTTACTGCAGTCCCTTTCATTGGTTACACTTGGCCATTGTTAGGTGTTGTGTTTTAGCGAGTCAGTGGACTAGGCTCCAAGCACACACATACAGCCAAACATTCACACGCATACATAATCGAACATCCCCCCACACTTAAGTACGACATTGTTCTCAATGGAGGAAAGACGGTAGAACGAAGTTACCAGATCACGTGTGAATGATAGTGGATGGGGCAGGCGGTGCATTCCAGGAGGAGAGAGTAGTCGGAACACAAACACCACACAAAATCTCACCAAGGTTGAGTTATTGACTCTAAAATCAAAGAACAAAACTGACTCAACCGAGGAGAAATAGAGAAAGAAATGCAAACCGACTGGTTGGGTTGCCTGCCAACAAGCACTTCTTTCACGTCGTGAGCCGGACGATGGCTCCTAAGTTTCGGTCCACCCCAGAACCTCTTTGAAGTTGAGGTTCTCGTCGATGAGGTGGAGTCTCAAGTCACGAACATGTGGCATGACAGGTGATGGAAGCTCATGCACTTGATGCAGATGAAGTCTCCACCCTCGAGACCTCTTCTTCTCTTCTCTCGTCTCATTACCCCAAACCAGATATGACAACATCGATTGATCACCATCGCGTCCACCAAGAGGGACCGATGTCGATGTGGTCTTGGTCTGGCAAAGAGACACTGCAAATGGGTCCTTGCTAAGCAGTTCCTCAAAGTTTGGTGGGGATATTACTTGCACCATAAGGCCAATGCAAGCCTCTTCCACCTCAACTTCGTCCCAGCCTGGACGCCAATTGCTTCTTCAACCCCCCTTCCTTCTTCAGAATTTAATTCCTCCCTTCGGAAAAGATCCAGAACTTCCTCTAATTCACTTTCGTCATCCTCCACAACTTCTTTACTCATAATTTCTCACTCTTCTTCTTCTAGCACGGATTGGAGAGCAAGTTGCCAAGCAATTTCTTTCATGAGATCATCTTGCATCTCTTTGCTCATGTCCACCTCTTCAAAGCTCAGTGTGGGATGTGGGAAGGTGTGGCAAGATACAACAGGACATTCTTGATCATGATCTTCACGAGAGCTCTCCGTGACAACTTCTGTTTGCTCCACAATGTCCTTGTAGCCTTCGTCTTCCTCCTCCTCTTCTAGTATGGTAGTAGAAGGGTGATCATGAGCAAGTTGTGCACAAACTTGCTCAACCCGCTTCGTTTGCTTTGCTGAGTGCGGAACAATCTCCATGGATTCACGAAGGGATGAAGAGGTAGGAGGAGCAAAAGATAGGAAAAGGAGGTCCATCTTGCGATTGCGTCTCTCGGTGTTCCGAGCAAACTTCTCCACGAGAAGCCTCAATTCATAGTTTGGATCTGGTCGTGGAGTGTACCATGGCTCTGCAGAATGGCCCGAAAATGTCGCCATGGCTAACTCCAGCTCCGATGGCCCTTCTGGTTGTGGGAGGAATTCTTCTTCATAAGGATACTATTCTTGAAATGTCCAAGGGCCCTTCTGGTTGATGAACTCGTTCCTTCTGTGCAAACGTTTTCAAAAACGAATTAAAAACGAAGAAGATACCATATGGTATGCAGTTGGTACCGAGAGGCAAGAGTTTTTTTTTCTCCAAAAATATTGAAAATAGATCTCATTTTGTAGAGCACAATGAAATCGTTCCATCTGTGCAAAAAAAATTAAAATCCAAGTTAAAACGAAGAAGATATGAGTCGATTAAAAAATGTATGTAAAATAAAAATGACCTTTAATTATCTATCCTTAGATCTGGATTTTCTAAATGGAGGGTCCAGATTTAGTTATTGATGGGTGCATAACCCATAGTTATGCATTTTTCGGACAACGGTCAAATTTGGGTACGAGGAAAGGGGGGAATGGATCAGGTCGGTAACCTTATGGTGAGTAACTATGAGTAACCCGCCCACATCAGCATGACATCAGCATCCTCTCTCTCCTGGAAAGCCTTTAATTTTCCCCTCTTTAATCTTTGACGGACGATTTCTCACTCGTTTTAAGTCGAAATTTAATTTTTTTTGCACAGTTAGATCAGATTAATTGTGCTCTTCAAAATGATATCCACTTTGATATATTTTTCGAACAAAAAAAAATTGAGCCATTTTTTACTAGTCTATACCATATGGTATTGACTGGTATTGAAATAAGAGCATACCTATGGTTTGAAAAGCGTACCATGGTGGTATGGACAAACCAAGACTGTAGGATGATTGAATACATGATAGTAGAAGTATATTAATTGTCATTTACTACTTTTAACATTGTATACCATAAGATACCATAAAATACCACCCCATACCAGGGTGGTATTGTATGGTATTTGGTGGTATGTTTTGGTCTTTTAATTTGTTCACCCAGAAATTTGTAGATCCAATAGATCATGATGAACTCGTCCCTGCTGTGCAAACGTTTTCAAAAACGAATGAAAAACGAAGAAGATACCATATGCTATGCAGTTGGTACCGAGAGGCCAAAAAAATTTTTCCCTAAAAAAATATTGAAAATTGATCTCATTTTGTAGAGCACGATGAACTCATTCCATCTGTGCAAAAAAAATTAAAATCCGAGTTAAAACGAAAAAGATATGAGTCAATTAAGAAAGCTAGTGAAAATAAAAAAGACATTTAATTCTCCATCCTTATATCTGGATTTTCTAAATGAAGGGTCCATATTTGGTTATTGATGGGTGCATACCATGGATTATGCACCCTATCTTGAGCCAGGAAAGGGGAGAAGGAAGGGGGGAACGGATCAGGTCAGTAACCTTATGGTGAGTAACCATGAGTAACCCATCCATATCAGCATGACATCGGCATCCTCTCTCTCCTGAAAAGCCTTAAATTTTCCCTTACTTGATCTTTGACGGACGATTTCTCACTCGTTTTAAGTTGTAATTTAATTTTTTTGCACAGTTAGATCAAATTAATTGTGCTCTTCAAAATGATATCCACTTTGATATATTTTTCAAACAAAAAAAAATTGAGCCATTTTTTACCAGTCTATACCATATGGTATTGACTGGTATTGAAATAAGAGCATACCTATGGTTTGAAAAGCGTACCATGGTGGTATGACACAAACCAAAACTATAGGATGGTTGAATATATGATAGTAGAAGTATATTAATTGTCATTTACGACTTTTAACATTATATACCATAAGATACCACCCCGTACCAGGGTGGTATAGTATGGTATTGTGTGGTATTTTTTGGTCCTGTAATTTGTTCACCAAGAAATTTGTAGATCTAATAGATCATGATGAACTCGTTCCTTCTGTGCAAACGTTTTCAAAAATGAATTAAAAACGAAGAAGATACCATATGGTATGCAGTTGGTACCGAGAGGCAAGAGTCTTTTTTTCTCCAAAAATATTGAAAATAGATCTCATTTTGTAGAGCACAATGAAATCGTTCCATTTGTGCAAAAAAAAAAAAATTCGAGTTAAAACGAAAAAGATATGAGTCAATTAAGAAACTTAGGAAAAATAAAAATGACCTTTAATTCTCCATCCTTAGATCTTGATTTTCATTGATTTTCTAAATGAAGGGTCCAAGTTTGGTTATTGATGGGTGCATAACCATGGGTTATGCACCCTATCTTGAGCCAAGGAAGGGGGAGGCGCAACCCGATATCCCGAACTCGACTGACCGCAATCCAAGTAATCCACAATTCAATTGCATCCAAAGGGATTGACACCATTCGTAACACATAGGGAGTTCTGGAATTCTAAATATGATTTTCTAATTGAGGACAGAACCATAACCTGCAGTATCGTCATTCATAACAAGTCAACATCCCTTTTCTTGTACTGTTCTGATCCAGCGAAAATTACAATTTAATTATTACAGCGGAAACTACAATTAGGCGTTAGCATCCGGATGAAGGGCATGCATTGGGAGTTAGCTGCGGAACGCCTGCTTTACTCTTTGTGTGTTTTGTTTAAGTTGTGAACTCCTGCTTACAATTACAAGTCACAAATGCGCGAAACGCACAGAATAATCCAACAAGTAAATTACACGAGATTCATCGGGTCCAATAGAACCCCGGGAGAGGCAAGTAGAGGGAGGACCCACCCATTTCGATCGGCCCAATTATATTGTGGCGGAGTTGAATATGTTGCCATAATTAATAAATAAATAGTTTTATTATTTTTTTTTTTTTCCGGGAACCATCGGTACGTTAGCGCTTTTTATTTATTTATAAGGACAGACAGAGAGACTTTGAATAGTTGGGCATACTGCATTTGTTAACACCCAGTCCAAACTATCCTCTCCCTCTCCGCCTCATCGCAGCAGGTGGCAGCTAATTATGAACTCAACCCCGCCAGTAACTTGTTTGCGGGGCCGGCAACAGAAGCAATAATAACAAATCTGATCCAGAGACGCGATCGCAGTTGGGAATTCGATCGATCGATCGATCAATTAATCTGGGCGGGTTGGGAAGAGTAATATGGCAGTGGAGCACACATGCTGCGGAACCGAATTCTTCCTTCAGATTGTAATAATTGTGCTGCTGGTGCTGTTCGCGGGCCTCATGTCCGGCCTCACTTTGGGCCTCATGTCCATGAGTCTCGTCGACCTCGAAGTTGTGGCCAAGTCCGGCAAACCCAAGGATCGCAAATACGCTGGTAATTATTATTTATATGCTTCTCCATCCATCTGTTTTCCTTCTTCTTTTTTTTTTTTTTTTTTTGCCCCATCTTCCTACACATATAATATACTGCTCCGATTCTCCTGATCCATCGGGTGTCTCTGTACTGACAGAAAGGATACTACCAGTTGTTAGAAATCAGCATCTGATACTCTGTACACTGCTAATTTGTAATGCGGCTGCCATGGAGGTACACATCATTAGATTAGATTCGACTTGTCAAAATATGTACTTGGTAAAGATAGTTATAGTTTATTATGCAACTGTTGTTTGATGTTTGTCAGGCACTCCCTATTTTCCTGGATAAGCTGGTTTCAGCACTGGGCGCTGTTCTTATTTCAGTCACCCTGCTTCTTCTATTTGGTGAGGTGAGAACTGACAAGACAAACTATATATATATATATATATAGCTAGCTACTTCTCTGTTTAGTCACAAAGTTAACACTGTTAAACTTTGTTGGTCTTCTTAATGAATGCCGAAGCTAGTGATGGCAATTTCAACCCGCCCCGCGGGTATTACCCGACCTGACTCGCGATGGGGCGGGTATTACCCGACCCGCAGTAGCGTGGGACGGGGCATGGGTATCTACTTCCGACCCGCCCTGCCCCGCCCCGCCCAGTTCTAGACTCATTTTATCTCAATTCCTTACAATATCTATACATATTTCTCCTATTTTGATTTTTCTTCAACTAGTTAGAGTCGATCTTTCAACTTGTTAGGGTCAATTATCCATTCTATTATCAATATTTTTCATTCTTAAAGTGTTTTTCCCTACGTTTTATTGTAAAATGTAAAATTTACTTGTATTTTTTTGAACAACATGTAAGAGTGGGTCGACCCGCCCCGCCCCGTACCCGCGCGGGTTTTACCCGCCCCGACCCGTAGTAGCATGGGGCGGGGCATGAGAATTGAGGTACCCGCCCCGCCCCGCCCCATTGCCATCACTAGCCGAAGCTAAGTAGTTCAATCAGGGGAACTAGATAATCTTGGGATCCATCAGTAATTTCTATCTCTGTCTCTGGCTCTGCAGATTATACCGCAATCCGTTTGCACTCGATACGGCCTGGCAATAGGCGCTACAGTGGCTCCATTTGTCCGCATACTTATTTGGATATGCTTCCCGGTCGCCTATCCTATAAGCAAGGTCACATATATATATATATATGTATATTGGTTTCAGCATGGTCCTTTAATTTCCATACATGTATGAATCTATTGTCTCTTTTACCTACTCTAGTATAGCTGATCACTGGCTCGCTCATATTATTGATCCATCTTCTTAATTTCAGATTCTAGACTGCGTGCTGGGTAACGGACATGTTGCACTTTTTCGCAGAGCTGAGCTGAAAACACTAGTCAATCTGCATGGCAATGAGGTTAGATCTACGTTGTCATTTGGGCAGCTAGCACGCGAGATGCATGGCTGCGATAGTCCTCATTAATTATATTCGTCTCGATTTAGCTTTATAATTGACTTATTGTCATTTAACTGCCTATTGTTGTGTCTCTGCTTCAGGCTGGGAAAGGAGGAGAGCTAACCCATGACGAGACAACAATCATTGCTGGAGCACTTGAGCTCACAGAAAAAACAGCTAGTCATGCAATGACTCCCATTTCCCAAACTTTTGCTATTGATATCAATGCGAAGTTGGACCGGTAAATTATGCAAACCCGGTTTAATTTTCTCAGGAAAACTGGTCTTCTATCCCTATTTATCATTATTATTGTTAAAAGATAGTAGTATTTGACTCACATCCAGTATATAATTATAGTATTTTCTATATCTGTCTACTTTTGGCATTCAGTTAGAGACAACACGTACAAGAAACATATTAACAAAGTATCTTTCTTAACCCTAATCACTCTATCTTTCCAATCTCTCGTCTCTCCCTATCAAGCCCGCCAACCATTCTAATTCTTCCCTACTTCTTTCCCAAGTACCTCTTCCAATCTCTAATAATATCTCTAAGTCCCTCCATATGAATAAATTCTCAATCTCGCAACCGGATCAATAAAAAACCTAGATAACCGGGTTTCTATCAGTGGCACAGAGCCTTGGTTGTGAGCATGAGTTCGTCACAACTCTCAACTAGGGAATTGGCCAGCGTATTACGAGCCAAACTCGATGGAGCCTTGGGAAGGACATCGACTGCGACTGAAAGAGGTGAAGCCATTGCTATGATGACCGACAAGGAGCTACGAGCAACGTTGACCGATATTGTTGCCCTAAGTGGTGTTGCCCCTGGTATTCAAGTCGTATCATTCTTTGTGGCCGCTGCAGGGACCACCACTACGATGGAAGTCATCGCTGCCCCAACCAAAGAGAAGGACCCGAACAAGGTTGTCGAGGCTACGGTGGCTGTTGTGGCCAAAGAAAAATGATATCTTTTTTATCCTGTTCTTGTGTCCCAAAAAGGAGAGGGCAATGACCTCTGAAGAATCCCAGGCTGAAGGTTCAAAGTAAAGACCAACGCGGAGTCACATTACGAACCGCGCTTCTCGAAAAAGATCGTGTCAGGTTCGGCTAAGGAGAAGAGAAGAACATTGTGTCAACGATCCTTATGTCCATGTCTGCATCGTTGCCAACCACTTTTCCTGTCATAGGCTAGGAGATAGCAAATATTACCTATCCTCGTAGTCACCGAGTCACTCCTCAGTGAATTGTACGGGTAAGGACTCGGGAAGTGGGCACCGAGTCACGACTCAGAATGCTAAGGACTCGGGAAACTATTTGAAGTAGGACAAGGTCCACATCAATACCAAATGACGACGCTAGACAGAGGAAGAGGCAGGTCACTGGGTGGATCCACCATAGCTGTGAAGTGGGCAGCTGGATCCATCTAGGCATCGACAGTCGGGGTGACGAGATCGTAGGTTGGCAGTGTGGTACTAGCTAGGCTTACCTTTCATTCATCATGTGGTTGAATCATTCCCAAAAAAGGAGGCCAAAAAGGGAGAAAGGTTGAGCACCATTGCTCATAGTTTACACCACTCTGTCTAGTCCACTACCCATTGCCAGTGAAGGAGACATCGAATGAACTGCCAAAAATGAGAAGAAGAAAGAGAGCGAGGACCTCCCTCTTGTTTGTGACCAAGTGCAACCCTTGTGTCGCTTAGTACACCTCAACCAATTAAGTTGTACCAACTAAATTGGGTCGTTAGTTTGAATGGATTAGATGAAGCTGGTTGTGAAGAGTAGCAGGGTTACATTAGGCTCATCTTGGGCGGACTAGATCATTAGTGGAGAGAGACGCATTCCAATGGTACCACAGATTTCAGGAGGAGGTTTAACCTCATCTTTAGGGAAGGATTGGGTATAGTATGAGCTATCTTCTAAAGAGGGTGGACTTGGAGGAAAGGAAGATGAGTTTATTGGGTTTATAGGTGGACTTCCATTATAACATGGCCCAAAGGCATTTGGAGAGGTAACCCAACAAATTAATTGGCTATCTTCATGGAAGATGTTTAAGGATCTCCATGAGTCGATACTTAAGGATAGTTTCTTGTACAAGAAAGAACCTTTGGATTCCTTAAGCTGCTGGACGGTAAGGCTAAGAAGATAGGATTTTTGGAGATTGAATTCTCTAGTGAAGCACAGAGTGGGCCCTCGAAGGTGTCATCATCTCTTGATTAGCTGGTGAGGTCATAGAGAGAAGGATGGTACGAGTACTCGTACCATATTTGAAGAGTAACACTTGGATTGCACGAGAAAGGCAAAGGAATGGGTTAAGATTTTCAACCTTGATAGAAATTCAATTTCTTGACGAAACCGATAATCTATCCCATTTATTATTATTGTTGTTTTTTTCCGTCGTCGTCGTTGTTGTTAAAGACAATAGTATTTGAGTCATATTAGGTTTATTATTAGATTTTTCAGTATTTACTATCAATATGTACTTTTGGGATTCAATTAGAGGAAATCAAGAAACATATTAGTAAAGTATCTTTCTAAACCCTAACCCTCTCTATTCCCAATCTCTCGTCTCTCTCTATCAAGACCTCTAGCTAGTCGACTTCTACTTCTCTAGTTTTTCCTCATATACCTCTGTCAATCCCTAATTATACCTTTAAATCCCTAAATATCGATAAATTATCACTGGATTTTTATTAGTAAACAATATAAATTCTATAATATTACCTATTATATTGATCTGCACTTCGCGTCGGTCATAAACTAATATTTTTTGTAATATAATTTCATCCATTATTTAATAATTTAGTTGAAATAAGATTATTCAAAAAATAGTTCACGTAGGGCACTTCCTCTATCTTTACGTAGTGTCTTAATTATTTATTTTTTTATTGGGGAGAGACGCCAAGCGTAGGAATTAAACTATCAGAGGATTAAACCATAGGAAACCAAAAATAGCAGCAAACAATCTTAAACAAATTCAGAGTCAGCAATGAGAAATAAGGTTGTTGTTCTACTCGTAAACTGTTTGACGGGGAAGCTGATGCCCCTTATGTCACCCATAAGAATTCTTTATAGCTCATGAGGGGATGCGCCAGTTCATGCCACCCGAAGGGAGAGATGAAATCGTGCTTCAAAAGCCAGTTCGTGACTCTATTCCCCTCGGGATAAGTATGCTTCAGGCAAACCACCCACCCACCCTTGTGCTAGTTTCAGACGAATAGCACCAAGAATGGCTGCATAGGAATGAACTGGGCCGGTGCGATTATTAATCAAATCAATGGTAAGTATGTTTCCTTGCCATGTCTACACCTTGGAAGGCCCAAAGTTCAGAAGCTATGATGGTTCCGGAGCCAATTTTGCTGCAAAAGCAATTAAGCTACTTGCCAATGTAGTTTCAAAGGACTCCCCTCACTGTCACTTCTCTAGGTGATATTTGTATCGCCCATATGTATTCATTTTGTGCCAACTTGGGCTTGGAGGAGACCAACTGATGAGGGACTCTATGTACGCGGGTTTGCCATTGCAATCTAGCTGAGCGCTGGAAAGCGAGTGCCTAGTCATTTGCTTTGGTGGTCACAAAGTTTAGCAGAAATGAATACGCCATGCCTTGGTTCCTAAAAATAAATTCGCAACTTTTTCTCCAACTGAACCACAAGATCATATTGAAGTAGTTTGCCCACTCTCCATTCCAGTTTTCCATGGACTTATTGGCGAAGTTAGAGAATAGCCGGTCTTCCTAATCTGTAGTGAAGAATTGAGTGTTCCATTGCGTCGGAATAAAGCTTCCCCATATGTAGGCCGCTGGATCAAAATATCTTAGGAAATGAAGTGTTGTCTTTGGAAATCCCTAGCATCTACGGCAGGAATCATTGTTGCTAAGCTTTATTTGCTTCCTTATCATGTTGGTGGTGATTTTTCCTAAGATTTTCATCCACGCTGAGACTCTAACTTGCTCCGGTGTCTTTAATTGCCATATCTCCTTCCACTTTGGGTTTTTGGCCATTACTAAGCCTGTATGCAGAGCTGGTTGAGAATTGACCATTTGATGTTGCTATATAGAACAAGGTGCCATTTTCTCCCGACAACATATCAACCATGAGGGTCCTGATTTTGTAATGTTTGCTAGTGGATGTGCTTCAAAGTCTTCCACCTTCCAGCCATGCTCTTCATCCCACATATCAGCAACTATCTTGTTCCTCAACTCTGTGGGAACTTCTGATGTAACCAGCTCGATCAAGGGATCCAACAACACCCAAGGATACAGCCAGAACATAGTAGTCCGACCATTATAAATATTAACAGTGTTGCTTTTGCGCAAGGTATGGGAGGCATAGTTAAAACTAGGACAAGCGAAGAAACTTCCCCGAGCTTTCTTAAGCACTTTCATTCCTTCCCATCTCCCACCATACTTGGTTTTAAGGAGTCTCGTCCATAAGGCATCATGTTTTGTGGAAAGCTTCCATCCTCTTTTCGCGAGCAGAGCAAAGTTGGCATGCCTAGTCAACCAAATTCAACGCCTCTATGGCTGCGAAGTTTTGTCACCTGGTCTCAAGAGATGGATGGAACTTAGTTTTGTCGTCCTTCTCTCGCCATACGAACTAGCTATCGTACCTGTTAAACATTTTTCAAACCGATGCTAAGAGTAGCTTTGAAAACATGAGATAAATAATCACAGTAGATGAGATTGGTCTCACTAGGATGATTCTAGCTGCAAGGGGCAAACCCCGCATTTTTCAGAGTGCGAGTTTTTTCTGGATTCGTAGCATCAGACCTCTATTCAGTCTTTAGTGATCCTTCCATGGATGGTGTTAAATATTTGCCCAGTGTGGTTTGGGGAATTCCAGCCCGATAACTAAGTCTTTGCTCCTTGTATCAGTGAATGTAGGGGGACCGTAAATGGAAGACTTTTTTTGGGGATGGACCATTTGCCTGGAACTTTTACGAAATTCTTCTAAGCATGCTCAAACTTTCTTGATTTGCCTCCCTTCTCGCCTCTTCAAAACGAATTAGGTCATCATCGAAGAACATATGTGACAGTTTGGGGCCGTCAGAGGAAAGGAGAATCAACTTCCATTCTTTGTCCACCACTACATTTCTATGTGAAAGCCTTTCCATATATAAAATAATTAAAAAGATACAGTGACAACGGGTTTTCCTAGCAAACTCGTCGCTGGATTTCTTTTAGGCAGGGAGCATTCCAAAGTCTGTGAAGGAGTCCACACTGGTTCTAATTCCAAAAGTC